TATCGGGGCCCCGAGTCCAGGCATGCTGCCATCTTTCCCTGAGGAGTGGAGGGAGGGGGGAAGTGGAGCCTAAGCTCCTCTTCGACCGCTGCTACCCCTCCACCCCTCACGCCCCGTCCGTATGGCTGGGAAGGGGGAAGCTGGCCCTTAGACCCGCTTCTACCTCCGTTTCCGGCCGGACAGGGCGCCGCCATATTGTCGTTGTGCAACTGATTGACCCACCGTACCTACCAGCCGCCCTACGTTTGGAGGGTTTGGCTGGGACACTGGGAACCCCCGCCCAGTGCCCCACCCTTCTGCCCGGCGGTTATGAGGGGAATTATCTTATCCTCTAGCCGCCAGGCCCATCTGCCTATGTGAGGCGAGGGGAATCTACTACCCCCTCCTCTTCCAACCCACCTATAGTGGGTTTTAAAAACTAGGGGGGAGAGAGAGATGTCTCAGAGGTGATTCATCACCCTCTTCTCTGCCCCCTTATTATCATCCGACCCCCATTCTTGGGACTGGCGGATATCTGGGGGCTGAGAAACAGCCCTCCTTCCTTTTCCTCTCCTCGCCGGAGCGCGGGGCATCATTACCGGTGCCCCTCTTCCTGCCAGTCGTGGTGCCCCCCCTGCATTGTTGTTTTCCGGTGGGGGGGCATCCCGACGTTATACGGGTATCCTTCTCCGAGGTAACGGAGGTGGGGCGGGTGGTGCAATCATCCTCCTAACTGTATCTTCTTCTGAGGAGTCAGCGTCCTCCTCCCTGCTCCTACTCCTCGAGCCGCGTCTCAGCCGGCGTTGCGCTCTTCCTCTCTGTCGCTGGCCCCGACCCTCCGCCTGTCTGCAGATTTCCTCCGTAGCCTCCTTCTGCGAGATGACTACCTCACAAAAGGAGGCGAATATTCCCCATTTCCTTTCACACCCTACTATAGCGTTAACTATCGCAGGGAGTGAGAGGTTATTCCCTATTTCCCGGGTCAAGACTCCGCGCTCCTCCGCCCATGCCGGACAATCCTGGAGGGTGTGCTGCGTGGAGACGTGACCATGATCGCAATGGTGGCAGTGCGCTGTGCGTTACTTACCGATCCTGCACAGGTTTTCACCGAAACATCCGTGTCCGGTGAGTACCTGCGTCATCCTGAATGTCAAAATCCCATGTGCCCTGTCCACCCAATCGGGTAGACAGAGGTGGACGGCCTGGACAATCCTCCTCCCGTATCTGGCATTCGCCAGAAATCTCTGCCATCTTTGGAGAAGAACCTGCCGAGCCTGGTGCTTCATGCGTCGCATGGCTTCGGCGAGCGCCTCGCCTGCATCCTCTGTTCGTAGGAGCTCCCCCCTCCTCACGTACATAGAACAGTACATGAGGGCGAGGAGCTCCAGGGGAGGCATGCCTGTCAGAGCCGTCTCCGCCACGTGGGATACTGTTCAATACCCTGACCAGGATGATCCTGACCGCCACCGTCCTGTGCGCCTTGCGCAATAGCGCTTGCACTGGACGGCTGACGGCCAAGACCTCCACCCATATCGGAGCTCCATAAAGAGCCACCGAATTTAGTATCCCAGCGTGGAGGCGACGAGCCTTCCATTCTGGTCCCCCGATATTGGGCATTAATCTGCCCAAATTGGCAGAAACCACTTTTAATCGGGGGACCAGACGGCCAAAATGCTCCTTGAAGCACCAGGTGCCGTCCAAGGTGAGGCCCAGATACTTTATCTGGGCCTCTATTGGGGCCCTGATCTTTCCCACCCGTAGCTGGGCCTGGGGTGGCTTCATCCCTTTTCTGTGAAAGAAAATTGCCTCAGTTTTTCTTTCAGCCACCGTCAAGCCCAGTCTACGGATGGCACGTACAGCGCCTGCCACCGCGATATTCGCCATCCTTATGTCGTTCCCGCAGTCATCCCCCCCGGCCAGTATCAGCGTGTCGTCCGCCTAACATATCATGCTGCAACCGGGAGGAGGACAGTTCGGAGGACTGAGTTGTACCCGAGGTTCCAGAGTAGGGGGTCCAAAACAGACCCCTGAGGAACCCCGCAACTCATCCCCCTCTCACGTACTTTGCCGTCGGCGTCCTTTCAACTTAGACGCCGACCCCGGAAGTAATCCTCGATAACGGCCATGAGGTAGAGTGGGAAGCGGAAAAAGATCCTCATCGCCTCCACCACCTTACCCCAGGGCAGGGTGTTGAATGCATTGGCTATATCTAATGAGACAGCCACTGCCACCTCGCCCTCCTGCACGATGGCCTCCGAGAGGGTCCGTAAGCGCAGAATTGTGTCCACAATGGACCTTCCCTCCCAGAAGCCATATTGGCCGCTATCGAGGTCTGGAACTTCCCGGGATATATGCTCCATGAGGCGGGCAGCTATGACACGCTTAAAAGCTTGCCCGCCTCATCGAGGAGACATATGAGCCGGTACACAGAGGGGGAGTCCTCTGGTTTGCCCTCTTTTCGGAGGAGGACCACATTGGCCCTCCCCCAGACTGGGGGGAACCTACCTTCCCTAAGGGCTTCGGAGAAAAACCTCAAGCCTACCATTTATATACCCCGAGGCCAGGGTAAGGACTCTGCTGGGGATATCGTCTGGTCCAGGGGTCTTACGGCTTTTGACCCTTTTCATAACCCCGGCCACCTCCTCCTCAGTGACCCCGGAATCTCCCCCTGTTGTTCGGGGGTAGGTGCTCTATACGGGCTAATGGAACTCCCCTCCCTAACTAGGAAGAGGGTCCCCATGACCCGCTCAAAGAACCGGGGATCAAGCGTCTCCGTTAGCGGGGGCGCCCATGGCTTTAGTTTCTTCATGACCATTTTATACGGGCGCCCCCACGAATCCGCATCCAACGACTGGAGGAGGGTGTCCCACCCTTTTCCCTGGCCGCCCCTATGGCATCACTCAGTGCCGCAGCAGCCTTACAAAAATCAAACCGGGCGGCCAGGACGGCCTCGGGGTCTGAGTCCGGATCATTCCGGACTCTCCTAAATACCCGTCTGAGGTGGATTGACTTCTGCTTGAGGTCGGCGATGTTGTCAGTCCACCACCAGATGGATTTTTTGGGGCAGGACCTAACTCTGGGCCTCCCCCGTGGGTGCCACCTTGTCGTGGTGGGGGAGCTTGCGTGTCCCGATGATGTACAGGGCTGTACCGGCGGGGGTTTCTACCCCTGGCAGGTTCTATCATGACGGGGTGGCCTGTACAGAGGTACCAGACTAAGAGCGTCCATAACACTCCTGGATGGGCAGCTGCCTCCAGGTTTTAACAGAGTCTGGAGAGTCCCATTCGTGGGGCCCAAAGGACCTTACTACGCGGGCAGAACGGGCTCGTGAGCCGGGTGAAGGCAACCGTTCTAGGGGAAGGAAAACCCTGATTGCAAACCCGTACTTGTCAGGACGTATAACCTGACACAATTGCGAGGGGTCAGGGTGCTTTGGCACTCTGGTACAGGGGACTCAGGCAACCCCGGCAGACCTTAGCCTATCACCCGTAGCCTACCACCGTAACCCTAGGTCATGTCTCTGGGGCCGGGGGTCTTGCCTTAATTGGCCGGACCGCGAGGCGGGTCCTCTATAAAACACCACGTAATCCTACGGTTGAGGCATGCCACGCTTATGGGATGAATGGCAGGTGCGTGACCTGTCGCTAGTGGTTCCTCACCTTGGGCACCTGGCGAACGCAAGGGACACGCTAGCCTTACCCCGGGTAATGCGGGGGCTCTACCTGGGGTCGACGCCCACTTCCCGCCATACTCGTGGGACTTAATATGAGATCTCCAATAAACAAAAAACCAATCTTCTCCGAGTATTCGGACTCAGAGTCCCGAAAAGGCGGGTGTAGCAACCCGTCTAAGGGTCCACCACCTGTTTCGGCGGGTGATTTTTCGACAGAGGAACAGAGAGGAGCGAGGATGGGCAGAGATCTGCCGCCGGGTGCCATCTTCCCTCCCCCCGGGGAGAGAGAGCATATGGATCCCGGAGGAATAGCCTCCGCGAGGCCATCTACCGAGGGTTATAGTCCATCCCCCTCAACGGCTACCGAGGATAGTAGCCGGGACTACCGTCCTCACCGGAGGGTTGGTAGGGTGAGCTCTCCGCGTAGGATAACGAGAGCGGCCACCCAACGTGGGACAGGCATGTCCCTGGGGTCCGGGGTCCCCGCTGGCCAGGAGAAGCCGGTACCAGAGGCCAACAAGCCCGGCCCCACGAAGAAGCAGAAAGAGTCTGCCCCCAATGAAAACGGGGAGCCACAAGGGGCCAACAGGGGGAAGGAAGGTCTGGGGGCCGGGGAGAGAGAGGGGATGTCGGGGGCGAGAATCGCAGGGCCGGTTGTCGTCACCGACGTACTCCTCTCCCAGGGATCCAGATATCAGGTCCGGAGGGCAGGGGAAAAGACAACGCTGCTACCAACGGGTGCCAACCAGAGGAACAGCGGCGCTGTCACAGGAACGAAGAGAATGAGGCCCCCAACTAGTGGAGGATCCACGTCGGCGGCCGAAATCATGGAGGGCCCGGTCCCAGCCCTTATACCATCCGTAAGTGGTAGGGGAAGACCGGCCATGACCAGCAAAGGGGTTGGCCTGAAGGAGAGGAGAGAGAAGGAGGCGATGGAAAAGAGAGAGGAGCGCCTCAAGATGCTAGAGAAGGAGGCGTGGAGCCTCCTCGAAAGGGGGCTCCTACACACGCTGACGGACAAGCGCCCGGCGGAACTAATGTTCAGAGACGCCTCCTCTCTGAATCTTATCAGGGGGGCGGGTGCAGCGGATCTGGTCGATGAGGTGGGACGGGCCTTGGAGGCGGTAAAATTGGTGGCGGTTCGCTCAAACAACTTGAAGGGGACATTCATCGACCTGTTTAACCGGGCTGCTGCCACTATCCGGGCAACAATGACGACACTGATCGCCAGAACCAGGCTGCTGTCCTTGTGGCCACCTGGCACATAGAGCCAGGTGAGTGGGACCCCGACCTCCTAGATGGGGTCGGGGAGATAACGGGGATAGAAGCGTCGGCATGCGACGCCGTGATGCCCCGTTCCCAACCCCGTCGGCGCCGGGCGGCGTATTGGTGGTCGGAGGACATTGCAGTACTCCGCAGTGCCTCCGACCGCGCCAGAAGGGCGTACACGCGCGCCCGGCGACAAGATGGGGATGCCACAAGGGCAAAGGAGGACTACCTTGCCGCCAGGGTAGTCCTCAAAAAAACCATAAAAAAGGCCAAGCGGGAAGCCTGGGAGCAATTGGTGAGCTCCCTGGATGATGATCCGTGGGGGCGCCCATACAAGAGGACGATGGAGAAGATCCGTCTTTGGACGCCCCCACAAACGGGGACGTTGGACCCCCAGGCCCTTGATAGGCTCCTGGACGCCCTCTTTCCGAGGGCGGAAGGGGGCCCTCCAGTGATCCCTTCCCCAGAGATGGGGGAGGGAGACTGGGACGAGGGCCTGGAGATCACTACAGAGGAACTCGCCAAGGCCTGGAGAAAGCTCGGTGGTAAGGGCAAATCCCCTGGCCCCGATGCGATTCCGGGCCGCACCTGGGCTCTCGCGTTGGCCGAAGGGGACCTGTCCGCAGCCACCTGCAGGGTAGTGACAGGATGCCTCAGCGAGGGGGTCTTCCCCCCAGAGTGGAGGGGGGCCAAGTTGGCCCTCCTCCCGAAGGAGGGCAAGGAGCCCGGTAGTGCGTCAGCCTACAGGCCGATCTGCCTGCTGGACGAGGCGGGCAAGATGCTGGAGCGCATCATCGCGGACCGCCTCGTCCAGCACATGTCCTCGAGTGGGCTGAACTTCCACGACCGCCAATACGGGTTCAGGCCCGGACGATCCACGCTGGATGCTATCCAGTGGGTCCGGGACCTGAGGGGCGGGGTGTTGTTGGCGGTGTCGTTAGACATTAAAAATGCCTTCAACACCCTGCCCTGGCGATAGATAGGACGGGCCCTCGAGCACTTCGAGGTGCCCGCCTATCTCCAGCGGATAATGTCCGCCTACTTCGGGGACAGAGACCTCGCCTTCACCAAGGAAGGCGGGGTTCAAGGCTGGCGCACTATGGAGCGCGGTGTCCCGCAGGGGTCGGTGCTCGGCTTCCTGCTATGGGACATCGGCTTCGACCGGGTTCTTCGCACCCCGCTCCCCGACGGCTGCCACGTCATCTGCTACGCAGACGACACGTTAAGGGTGGCCGAAGGGGAGAACTGGGCGGAGGCCCGCTTCCGCGCGGAGGTGGCAGTGGCATCGGTGGTGGGAACCACCGGAGACCTGGGTCTCAATGTGGCGGCCCTCAAGACTGAGCCGTGTTTTTTCACGACGGCAGTCGAGGGGCGCCGCCGGAGACCCAGGTCCAAGTCGATGGCGTCCACGTCCGCGTCGGGCCGACGATGAAATATCTCGGCCTGACGTTGGACAGCCGGTGATCATTCGGGCCACACTTCAGGCAGCTGGCTCCCAGGGTGCGCAAAGCCGGGCTAGCTGTGACCAGGCTGTTGCGCGCCCAGGGGGGCCCAGGATGGCAGGCTCGCCGCCTGTATGTCGGTGCGGTTCTCTCGATCGCCCTGTACGTGGCGCCTATCTGGGCTCCTCAGCTGCTGGCCGCGATGACCAAGCGGCAGATGAGGCAGGCCCTAGGTCCCTTATGATCAGGGCGATTCGGGGGTTCCGCACCGTATCATACATGGCGGCGACCACCCTGACCGGCTCCCCCTGTGGAGCTCCTAGCCGGGGAGAGGAGGATCCTCTACTGGCGGGTAGAGGAGCTCCGCGAGGGGGGAGAGCTAACGGCTAGGGGCCTGAAGGCCCTGATAACCTAGGCCAGAGATCAGACCTTGGAGCGGTGGGAAGGCTTGCTAGCCGACCCCCGAGGGTCCGGTCTCGCTACGGCCGAGGCTGTCCGCCCCTGTCTGTCAGAAATGACAGACAGGAGGGGGCGTGGAATGTCCTTCCACCTGGTGCAGGTATTGACCGGGCATGGATGCTTCGGGAGATACCTGCACCGGATAAGGAAGGAGCCCACCGCTCGGTGCCACTACTGCCCCGAGCAAGAGGACACGGTGCTGCATACCCTAGCTGTCTGCGCAGCATGGGGGGGCAGCGCCGGGGGGGGTCCTGCTCGGGGCGGTGGATTGTCGCGACGGGGAGCTCTCGCTCCCGCACCTGGTGCGAGCCATGTGCGGGAGCGAGAAAACGTGGGACACGGCGGCCTCCTGCGGGGAGGTAATCTCCCAGAAGGAGGCTGCCGAGTAGAGGCGCCGGCCTGGCAAACGCCGTCGGGGAGGACGGCCGAGCCGGCGCTCCCCTGGGGGGGGGGGATTAACAGCGGGCCCGAGGTGGCATCGGACGAGGAGAGGCCGCTGGCCTACACGGGCCGACGGCTCCCCGGCACCTCGGGCCAGGCTCCGCCACTCAGGGGGGAGTGAGGACACTACCCGCTTCCCCGAGTGATCGGATAGGGAGGAGAAGGGGAGGTGGGGAACTCGATTGGGGTCGGGCCCACCTCCCCAAAAATTCCCCCTCTCCCTTTAGGAAGGTGGGGATAAGGAGGAAGGGTGGATGTCCCCTTCCTCTAAGGTGAGACCAGAAGGCCAACCGGCTGGAATACCCGCCGGGGACTGCACCTCTCCCACTAATTCCCCGAAAGGGGAGGGGGTGCGGTACAAGGAGGCGAGGGGCTCTTGGATTAGAGCCCTGGGGCCGTGGGGTTGGGGAGGGAATGCGGGAGCAGTTCCTCTAACTCCCCTCCTCATGATCCGACAGGTAGACATCCCGCAGGGGTTTTAGTCGGCAAGAGTCCGACATAACCCCCGCCCTTCCCCAAGGGGGGGTATCCATGATGGATTTCCCCTGCGTGAACAAAAAAGAAGGACCTAACTCTGGGCATGGCTCGGTCACACGCATGTGCGATGACATCCATTATTTCCATAACCGCAGAGTTTAGGTCCTGCCCTTCCATTCGTTGTGGCCAGATGGTAGCCTCTAAGGATATTTCCAGGGCCTCCTTATCCAATTAGCTCAGGTCCCACCGCCCGTCGCGGTTCGTCTTTTCGCTGGGGCCGCAGGCTATTGGGGGTGACGGAGAGCTCCATTTCTATTAGCAAATGGTCCGATAGAACTTCCAATTCCTCCGCCACCCTCCAGATCCGCACCCGCCCCTGGGCCGCAGGGGTTGCCCATGTCAAGTCAATAATTGACTCGCTCTGCGACCCGACGAAAGTTGACTTTTCGCCCTCGTTCAACAGGTGCAGACCTAGCTCTGCGGCTCAGTTTTCAACCTCCTCTCCCCGCCTGTCACCTCGCCGGGAACCCCACAGCTCCGATTTCGCATTTAAGTCCCCGGCGATAATGACAGGCCCCGGGAGGTATCGCCTAACGGCCCTCCCTATATCTTGGAGCCTGGACCTAAAGTCTGGTAGATCCAGGCTCTTTGTTGGGGGGTAAACCCCGACCATGATCAGGGCCCCCCACCTGGCCACAACGAACCTACTCCCTTTACCTAATTGGGTTGCAGGAAGGGAGTTCTTGTTCGCCCTCCATGTGATAGCGACGGAGCCCAGTTCATCCCCGAACCATCTGGGATGGTTTTCTGGAACATAGTGGGGCTCCGCCGCTATCCCCAATTCTGCACCGCGCTCCACCATTGTATACTCAAAGAGCGGTATGGCTTGACGAGCGCGGTGCAGATTGGCTTGAAGGAGTCTGGTTGCCATTATGATTCTACGTCAACGTGTACGTCTACGTCTACTATCACTAGCTTTTCTCCAGGCTCCTCCATTCCATCGCTGTCGCTGTCTCCCGTTGGGCGAGTTCGTTTTTCTCCTCTCCTTTCGATGTCCATTCCCTCCTCTCCCTCTGATTGGGCGTTAGCGGAGGGGGGATGGGGGTCTGCTCATGTGGAAGGAGAGAAGGCTCTACTGCCATCTCTGCCTCTACTTCCTTACTTGGAGGGACAATGGGTGCGGATGGCGCTGGTGCGATCGCCTCAACGCCCCTCTGTCCTTTCTTTTGTTTCTTCTTTGGGGGATGGCAGGCAGGTCCCCCCATCCTGTGCCCCGCTGGTTGATTAGCATCAGCACATATATGACATCTAGCCTGTGCAGTGCAGTCTCTAGCCGTATGTCCTGCTACCCCGCATCTATAGCAGTTATGCCTCCTATCTACATTGTTACCACAGTTACTTTGAACGTGGCCTCTTTCAAGGTACTTATAACATTGTAGCGGCCTCGTATCTAGCAGCTCCACTCTCACTTGAGTACATCCTATGATGAGCGTTCCCTTCTCAGCGGCCTTTTTCGCTGTTACCAATGGGCATTGTATCCACAGCGATCTGAACCCGGCTGGGGTGGTCCTTATTTTCCCGGTCTTTACCTTCGTTATTCCACATCCTCCTTCTCTGGAGGCATTCAGCTACCTCGCTTTCTGTCGTCGAAATTTCAAGACCTCTCAGTCTAATCTCTCCTAACTTTTGAGGACGGTTCACCTTTGCCTTATCGGCCAATACCTCTCTCAGTTTGCCGGCGAGAAGATCCGCCTGAGCATTTCTGTTCTCCCCGGGAATCTCCAAGATCAGTGCTCCCGTGGCCCCCTGCCTGGTCCTGATCTTGGAGATTCCCAAATTGTTGATATCGATTTTCCTTTTCGCTTCAATCAACAATTCTTTATACATTCCTTTTTCGGCAGTTATGGAAATAGCTGCCATGTTCGGGACCTTCCTTCTCGGTTTCTTGCTTTCTTTCCTCTTATCACTCCCCTTCCTTACCGACTACTGAGCCTGTCTTCTTTCTTCTTTCTTTCTTTCTTTTCTTTCCTCCTTCCGCCCTACTGCTTTTACCCATTCTCCTTGTGATGCAGGGTTCTCGGTTTCTGGTCCCTGCTGTGGTAGTGCTGGGTACTCCTCCTTTGCTGGGGGCAGCGTCGGAGGTTGAGATTGAGGCTTACATCCATACTTCTTTCCCTTTGGTAGTTTGGCTGGTGGATTGCTCAACCTATCTTTGTTTCCCTTTCTCACTCTCTTTTCCCTTTGAGGCAAGGGTTTATCCACAGTTGTCTTTGCAGGTGGTCCAGCCTGTTTCTCCTTGTTCTGAAACGCTGACCATCTATTCATTGCCTCATACACCATAAAAGAGACCCTATCCTCTAAGGATCTTTCCTCTACTTGCCCTGGCATACCCTACTTTTCCAATCTGACCTTTTTGGTCAGAGAGACCTCCTCCCTTATCCTAGGGTCAGGCTTCCCAGTTGCCGTGGCCTTAGTTTCTTCCCTCGTGTCTATGGGGTGACGTATCCTGGATTTATTGCCCCATGATGCACATCAATGACACCGATGTCTTGAATTACATCCTCATCAGTATCCGCAGTAGAGGGCATTATCCTCTTTCTCATCCCCTTTCTTTATCTCCTCTTCCTTGACATACACCGGAAGTGGAGGGGGTGTTAGTGTTGATGGTGGTACATCCTTCAGTCTCCGGAGTGACTCCTTTAGTTCCTCCATTTCCTTCTTCATTTCATCCTGTAATGCACGGAGCTTCTGGTTTTCCTCGCGCAGTTCTTCGAGGATCTCCAGATTTTCACCACCCTCACCCATTGCCATTCTTTTCGACATTAATGTCGCTCCCGCTGCAATGGAGGCAGATGCCTTTCTCAACACCTTGACATACGTCTCTTTTAAGTTCTTTGATCGAAGTGCGATGCCCAGTACTTGTGTGGCCGCTTCTAGGACCGACGCAGTCACATCGTTCAAGGGAGCTTCCATAAGGTGCACAATCATATCCTTTACATCCTTTTTGTATTTGCGGTTGTCATGAAGATCCGCAAGTGTCTCCATGGGGTTCTCCATGGCCAGCAGCAGGTCTTCTTCCTCTTTCGTTTTGAGGAAATCCTCCTTTTTTGCGATGAAAATCTTTTTCTTCACGTATTCGCCAGTGGTTGTGGGCCTTCCTCTTTGGCGTAGGGCCTTCTCTGCAAAGGCCTTTACGTCCGTATTCCCATCAGAATTTACGGGGATATCCCATATTTTTTGTCATCTTCTCTCTCCTCCCTAGTGATGGTTCGGAGGAGGAGGATTCCTCAATCCTAATTGGCGTCCTAGATCTGGACCACGGAGGGTTCACCGCTTCCGCCGCGCTGCGGGTGTTATAGCGCCTTTCGAACGACGTTTCGAGAGACGTACTACGTTTCCCGTCTCTTCTAGACATCCGGCTATTGCCGGGTTGACTTCTAGCAGCTTTCTTCGCTGCCTTCTCCCTACGAGAGCCGTCGGGATCCTCCAGCTCACTGGGGGAGGATCCCCATGGTGCCTGGGAAGCCCTGGGTGCGGGCACGTCCCGCCACCCCGATCTAACCATAACGGTCGGATCGAGGAGGATAGGGAGGGGTCCGTTCCTTTTGACTGCCGGAGCACCGGCGTGCAATGCCTCCAGGAATGGTACTCACCTCCCACCCGCTCTATGACCAGTCTGGTTAGGACCAGGCTGGTCAACCAACTTGGTCGGGCGCTCCTTGGTGCAGTCCCTCAGTACAGACTACTCCAGCATAGTAGGACCTGCCAGGGGCCGAAACCCCCGCCGGTACAGCTCTGTATGTCATTGGGAACTTCAAGCCCCCCCCCCCCCGCCACGACAAGGTGGCGCCCACGGGGAGGGTTTGAGTTGCAGGCTTTTTTTTTTGGACGAGGAGGAAATCCATCATGGATACCTTGACCCTCGGGGAAGGGCCAGGGTTATGCCGGACTCCTACTGGCTAAAACATCCCCAGGTGGTGCTGCGAAGGGACTTGCCTCGGGGCCCCGGAGCCTACGTAGCTGCAATCGAGGCCCCGAGTCCAAACAGTAAGCTGTTATCTTCCCCGAGGGATGCTGAGGGAGGGGGGAAGCTCGAGCCTAAGCTCGTCTTCTACCACCGCTCCCTCAGGGGAGGGGGAAGCGAGCCAAGGGCTCAGCTTCGACCACCGCTCTCCCTTGCACCCCTCACGCCCTGTCTCTGTGGCTGGGAAAGGGGAAGCCGGCCAAAGCGCCTGCGCTTCGACCACCATTCCCAGCCAGACAGGGCGCCGCCAGGATATTGTTGTGTGACTAGCCGATCCACCTTCTCAGCTAGTCAACCTGCGTTTGGAGGGCTGGTTGGGATACTGAAAGTCCCCGCCCAGTGCCTCACCCTCCTGCCCGGCGGTTACGGGGGAATAATATTGTCCCCTAGCCGCCGGGCATATGTGTGCCTATTTATACAGGGTGCACGATTTATCTGACGACATTGAAATATCTCGAGAACTATGTATTGGATAAAAAAGAGTGGTTAATGAAAGTTGTTAGTCTCGAAGGGGGACATCCAATGATACCAAACTCGACCTCCCACCCTACCCCCTGGGGGTGGGGGTTGGGGGCAACTTTGAAATCTTAAATGAAAACCCCCATTTTTTATTGCAGATATGGATTCTACGCCACAAAATACGTAAATTTTGTCCGAAACTTTTTTTTTGATTCGTGATAGATGGCGCTGTAATCGCAAAAAATTATATTTTCCGCAATTCTGCAGAAATGATCATTGGATTGAGAAATAAAAATACCTGTTCAATATTTTTAAAGTACATAATAAAAGTTATTCCCCCCCATCCTCTCGGGGTAGGGTGGGTGATAACGATCTCAATTGCACTGCCTTTTATAAGCCGTAGGCATTGCACTGCCTTTTATAATAAGCCGTAGTTCGCCATACACCCACAGTGGCGCGTCGAGCAGTTCCCTCTTCGATTCGGGTTCCCATTTGAGATTTGAACGTTATCACCCACCCTACTCCGAGAGGATGGGGGGGAATAACTTTTATTATGTTCTTTAAAAATATTGAACAGGTATTTTTTATTTCTCAATCCAATGATCATTTCTGGAGAATTGCGGAAAATATAATTTTTTCCGATTACAGCGCCATCTATCACGAATAAAAAAAAGTTTTTGACAAAATTTACATATTTTGTGACGTAGAATCCGTATCTGCAATAAAAAATGGGGGTTTCCATTTAAGATTTCAAAGTTGCCCCTAACCCCCACCCCCAGGGGGTAGGGTGGGAGGTCGAGTTTGGTATCATTGGATGTCTCCCTTCGAGACTAACAACTTTCATTAACCACTTTTTTTATCCAATGCATAGTTCTCGAGATATTTCAATGTCTTCAGATAAATCGTGCACCCTGTATAAGCAGGGGAGAGAGGGCTAGTCCTTCCTTCCCCTCCTACCCACATTCCCATAAATGTGGGCCAATTGAGGCGAGGGGGGAGGGTGGATAGACAACTGTGTTGTCGTCTTACTCCCTCCCCCCTCGTCCTCATCTGATCCCGTCTTGGGGACCGGCGACCGACTGGGGGGTGACTGTCCACCTCCCCCCGGCCTTTGACTTCCTACCATTACCGTGGCTATGGCGGCGGTTTGTGCCAAAGCACTGGCCGCCGCCACCCTTCCTGGTTGGGTCCCTCCCCTGCTGAGTTTTGCCCTGCGTGGGGGCATCACTCGGGTGGGGAGGGCCATCCCTAAGATATTGATGGGGGTACAGGGTAAGGAAATGGGATAGGTAGGGAGGAGGAGGAGTAAGAGGATGTGGGGGTGGGGGGTAGGGGTAAAAGTGGTGTTGGTGGTGGGGGAAACCCCATCATACCCCTAATCGCCTCTTCTTCCGAAGAGTTGGCATCTCCCTCCCGGCTGGGGGAGCGGCACTCGGCTCGACGGCGCT